GGCCAGGAGCCATCTGCTTTTAAATTGTTGGGCCGCAGAGGCCTGTCTGTGCAGGCGTGGACAGCATGACTCACCCAGGCAGGAGTCACACACCTAATAATGAGGTCCCCGCGCACCACAGCACCTGTGCCTTTTTTCCCTGTTCTGCCTGTGACTTCCCTGGCTGAGTGTGGTTTCCTGGGGGCAGGAGTGTGTGTCCCAGACCTCAGACTGCTGGTCTTTCTGGGGAGACCAAGCTGTCAGGCCCTTTTCTGAGGACAGTTGGACCAGCCGCCCGCAGCAGCAGGGGACGGCCAGCGCATGACCGTTCGTTGGCAAGGTCTCTGTTTGCAGGACTCCTGGGAGCGTGACACGGAGTAGCCAGCCTGTGCCGGGGGAGGGGCGCCCACCGCAAGCACCTCCTGGCAAAGAGCCTTGAGTTCCAGACCTGTTCTGTGAGGTTGGTCTCTGCGTGGCTTTCTCGTTGCTGTGACTCTGACTGGTGAAAAGCACATCTTGCCGTGCACTCTGTGCTAGGGAAACGTGACTTAACTTCTCGCCTAAAGGAGCCTCTGGGTGTCGCGAGCTCTAGTCGCCGTGGTTGCAGGAGTGAGGAGTGGCCCGGCGTGTCCACAGTCACCTCCCTGTGCCCCAGAACTGTGCTCCAGCCGGCTCTCCAGAACCAGTCACTCGCCGGCTGGCATCTGGATGCTTCCTGTGTACGTCTCATCTCCAAGAGAGATCGCGGCCTCTGCACGGGCAGGGCTGTCTGCCTCTCGCCAGCCTCACCAGGGCAGCGTTGCCCTGAGCGCTCACAAGGGCCGTGGAACGCCGCAGATTGAAAGCCGGCTGGAGCACATTCCTGGGCTGTGACGTGGGCTCTGTGGCTTCCACACTACTCGGGTGTCCCTCTGAACTCACGGGACTCTCGGACCCTGTGCACGCGCTGAAGCAGGCCAGAGCTCTGCTCCGTACCGCAGGGAGGAAAAGCGCCCGGCCTCGAGCTTTATGACAGCCGGGGCCTGCTCCTGGGCAGGCGCCCCAGGCCTGGGGCACTTGGGCTCGGGTCCCCTGGGGAGATGAGAGTCGTGGGGGCGTCTGGTTCTGGGGCTGCACCCCCCGATCCTGGAGGCACACTCTCCATTGAGCCCAAAGCTGGGAAACCAGCTGCAGTCAAAACTGCGCTGAGGAGCCCTTGGGGCAGCGGGAGGACTCCTCATTCCTCCGCGAGGCGTGCGCCCTCCAGAGCCAGCTCTGACTCACTGCGCTTCCTGGCACGACGGAGGGAGCGTGCGTTGAGTCCACACGAGGCTGGTCTGCACGAGTGGGCGTCTCTCAGGTGCTGAGTGGCAGGTTATGCGTAGAGCCCACCCAAGAGTAAAGGTGAAAGGCTCGCTCCTCGTGGTTTTCCTTTAATATGACACTGGAGACTCAAGAAAGGGGAATTTCACCGGAACGGCATCACGTAGCGAGCGGATTTTGTTTGTGTGAACGCCAGATGTGCGCAGTGTCTGTCAAGCCCGTTCTGCGAGTCCTGTGGGGTCTTAAATGGAGCCACAGGACAGCTGCTGTCTCAGCCCCGCGGAGCTGTGGCCCCACGGTGGTGGCTCCAGGGCTGCCCTCGGGGCAGCAGCCGCCGCGCCCTGCAGAGTGTCGCAGAGTCGAGAGTGTCGGCTTCGCTTCTGAGACCTGGCTGCACCCGGTGACGCGGGGCAGACGCCTCAACTTCCCTGAGCCTCCACTTCTTCCCCCGCGACTCAGGGTGGTGACGGCTCCTACAGGACAGGGCTAGTGTGAAGCTAGAACGGGACATTCTGCAAAGCGTCTCCGCAGTGCCTAGGACGTGGCAAGCGTGCAGACCATTCTCTGTTACTGGTTACGTGTCGTCACGTGTTACCTGTGTTCTCATCGCTGCTCAGTTACAATGACATTCCCGCTACCTTTGTCCTACTCATTGCGTTCTCACTGGCCCCTGACAACTGCTGCGCAGGGAGCCCCTCACACCTGCCAGGGAACTGGTTTTGCTTCTCCGGACAGCACCGTGAGGTGAGGGGGCGTGACTATCTCCCCGGGATGGACGAGATTGCTGGCTCCGGAGTGTCACGCGCCTGCTCGCTGCACACGGCTGGCGGGCGGCACTCCAGCGCCACTCGTCCTGCTGCGCGGCCTCCCTGTAGTGATTCGGCCTCGCCCTCTTTGGAGTCACGACCGTGTTTGCCAGCAGAGGAAGGAGCGTGACAGATGGCACGTGGGGTCACCTGCGGTCAGTACCCTGCCCCGGCCGGGGCTCCTCTGTGAGAGCGCTCAGCACCTGTCCTTGGGACACGGCAGGCGGCGTTCTCAGCGCGGCCTGTGCTGACACACTGTGCCCTTGCTCAGGCCAGAGCTGGCGACGGGTGTTTCCGCGTGTCACCTGCGAGTCACTGCAGTGACGCACTGTTAAAAGCATTCTTCGCGTTCCTCCTCTCCACAAAGGACCCGTAGGTTTAATGGCAACCTTGCAGCCTCTTTTCTACAGAAGACTAGTGATTAAAAAACAAAAAAGATTTGGAATCTATGTCTTTATGCTTGTATGGTCAATTTCCAAATGCTTCCAGGCCTCTACCGGCAGAATTTCTTAAGAGTAGCATTCTGTGCCATGCCCAGGAAGACACTCAAGAAAAGCCCAGACCGTCTAACCCTCAGGGCAAGAGGAGCAAAAGGATTTATTTTGATGACGTGATGTTATTGCCACGGTTTAGCAGTTGAGGTAAAGGTCTGCATGAGGAAACTGTGATGTTCTAGCAGTTTCAGTTTCCAGAGGGAGGAGGCTTGAGTGTCACCCACTCTCAGACGATCAGTCGGCTAAGCGCCTTGGCTGCCATTTATTTCTAATAAAAAACGACATTCACTTACGAGGACGTGCCAGTCTGGATAGTCTAAGTTATGCCGCGATAACAGTCCCCAAATCTCAGGCTCATGTTCCCTCTCTCCCAGTCCAGGCACATGGCTGCGGACTGAACTACGTCCCCCCAAATTCCTATGTGGAAGCCCCAACTCCCGATGTGGTAATTGTGTGTTTGGAGCCGGGCCTCTGGGAGGTGATGAGGCT